AAGACACTTTCAGCTTCATACTGCTGAGCAGAGATTTTCTAAAGGGAAAGACTAGTGAAAAAATGTTCACCCTAGGGTTTTTTTTATTGATTTATTGATCTTTAATGAGGCTGTCTTTCAATGTTCTATTAGCCAGCCTTTATTACTTCACATTATCTCATTATTTCACTGCTGCTCTGCGATTTTATTTAGCTTCTCTGGCAATTTATTTCATCTATAAACTACCTTCAGCACTCACTACATTTGCCTAGCAACTATCTCAATTGTAATATTATTAAAATAAATATGTCTAATGAAACCAGGGTACTCAAATGGGTTTTCATTCCTCTTTTGCCACTGCAAATCCTCGACAGCTTGGAAACCCAAGCCTTTGTCTTCTGACTCGGTGGAACTCAAGAGGGAATTGCTTCTGTGAAGTATTGAAAATCTGGTACATGTTACTCCACATGACTTTGGCCTCTGCTCAGACATGACTTTTCCATGCTTAGTAATAATTTTTGCATGGTAATGTAGGGACTCTCAACTAGCAGCAGAAAATAAGCACCACAGAGCTAATGCTCTGAGAAAAAACAACACAAATTGAGGACCTGAGGACCTGCTGCTGTGGTTTTTGCAAGATGCTCCAGAATTTTTATTTTTTACTTTTTTTGCTGGTGCCACATTTGCTCTTTGGCTTCTTAACTCCTCTGTGGCAGTCCTGAGAAGCAAAGGAGATGTGTTGTCTACTCACGTGCTGTTGTCAAAGTCTCACTGGATGCTGTGGCACCTTTTGCCTCTGTGGTAGAAGTTGGTGCTCCTGCTGAAAAGCACAAAGGCTTGTAAAAATTGCTGTAGGGTACCATAAAACTTGTTTTTCTTTCCCCCCCTCTTTCCTCCCTGTTTTCTGACTGATGAGGTCAAACAGGTTTAGCTCACTGCTTGAGATGCTGGCTGCTCTCAAACAGGCATTACACAATGCTGTGTCTGGTTTGAAAGCTTATCACAAGCTAGAAACTCAAGAGGAGTTTTACTGAGACAGGTAAATAAACTTATAGAAAATATTTGAAGCATTTTTATATTTCAGCTTAGTTTCAGGTGAACCCCAGGAGCTTGAGTGCACTGGCTGGTTTTGGCCTGAAACCAGTAGAGCAATGAACAAACATACATAAATCAGAATTTAGACAGGATGTCACCAGCTCCAGTGAAACAGAACTGTTTTCCCAACTAGCAAAAGGAAGTTTTGAAAAAGTTAGAGTACAAGAGTCACATCTGCAATGTCTGATGCCAAATACCAACTTATTTGACATTTTCCTTAAGGCATTTTTTAAGTGCTAAGATTTCTAGAACTCAGCTAGGTATTTAGCTGATATTCAAACACAGACAGATGGTGGCTAGGCATGTAGACCTTCATTTTCCCAAGAGAACTATTTCACATTTACTAAAAAGAATCTGTTTTTCTTAACAACTGTCTCATTTTGGAAAAACATCAAGCCATCTGAACAAACCTGCGAAGGTGAACTGCAGCTGTAACTGATCACTCAAAGCCTAAGCATCTCTGGCTCAGTGATGGAGCAGTTGTGGCTGCTAAGCAAAACCAGGCTACAGTTTTAGCAGCCTTGGTTTTACTCCCCCTCTTCGTCCTCTTGCCTATATATGTGCACTCTTCTCTCTTATCCATTCTCAGCCACCTCTTAGATTTTCATTAAAAACTTGCACAAAAAAAAAAAAGAAACCAACAACAACAACAACAAAAAAAAAACCAAAACCAAACAAAACAACCCCCCCCCCAAAAAAAAAAAAACCAAAAAACAACCAAACCAAAAAAAACACACACAAAAAAAAACCCAACAAACCAGGAACTGAACCTCTGCAGCTCAGAGGATTTGCTCAAAAAGCTGATGGTGGCACCAGTGTGAGGAGCAGCAGTGAGCAGAGAGGAGAAGTGCTAGCCCAGGGCTGTCATACCATAACTGGCACATGTTGGGACCACTGGTTAAAAGGCAATTGCTTCCCAGGCTACTTGCAGAAGAAAAATGGCTCAGATCCATCTTACAGTAGGAGTTTGGCCTTGTACCACCTCAACCATGGAAAACGTATAATTCAGCGAGGAGAATCCTCTCTCTTCACATCGTATATTTATAGCTTTAATTTTGAATTTTTTTTGTTGAGATGGAAGGACTTTCAGTCCACTTGGACTGAACTTTGCTGTTCTGCTGTCAGCCAGGCAAATGTCTCTGTTTTGGAGATGGGGAAGGAAGTGTGGGAAGCAGCAAACTTTCATTTCAGCACTGCTGCAATCTGTGTTCTTGCCTTGGCATATCTCAGACAAGCCTCTGCAAGCCCCTGGGCTTTCTGGTGAGTGATTCAGCTCCCAAAGAACACTCTTTTGGGACAGGCCAAAGCCTTGTGTTTAGTATCTTCCTCCAGTGTTCTATTTGGGTATGATACTTAACTAAAGACAGTAGGTATTTTTCATAAACACTATAATAACACTAATTGACTTCTTTGTAAACACTAATAACACTCAATGTCTGTCCAGTTGCCAAAATTAATGAATGTATCCTAGAGCATTAAAAAAGATAGAATCAAGACAGTATTTTCTCATATATTTATTCCTGAGCTGAGGTTACACTGCCAGCGGTTCGTGTATCCAGTGATTAGTGGCTAGTGTGTAAAGCACTAGGAAAAGAACCTCAGTGGACATTAAATTTCTTGCTCCAAAAAAATTAAGATGGTTATTGTGTTTATGTGTCTCTCTTCTACATTTTTGAAGCAAGAGAAGTAACAGTTTAATTACCTTGTGTTGTGGAAGCGGGACTCAAATTTGTTTGACTTCTGAAATCCAGAGAGGCCACAGATGTCGACTGGTGCTCTAAAGACAGTTAACATAGTATCACATTTAGTCAATAGGTTCTTCAGAAAATAATGTTAATAAATCACAAAACAACCTAGATCAAAGAACTTGCAGTAGCTATTGGGTAAATGCAGATTGTGCAGCAGAAATCCTGCCGTGGGAGTTAAGGCTAAATGCTCAAAGCACATTTCACAACTCCAGTGGGCACTGCAAGGCAGCTGACGTTATCAATACTGACCCTTTCCTGCTGGCTGGCTGCAGGCATTGCTTATTTCTGCTTCTATACACAAGTTTGACTTTTATAAAGTCAAACTTTGGGTTTGGTTTGACTGCTGAGGGGTGGAGTGTGCACTTGAACGTGGTGCTCCCCAGCAGAAATCATCCATGACAAAAGGCCACAAAAACAACAGCCCGGGACATCACCTGCTCTTCTGCTCTTGAGAGTTTTCCTCTCAATTGCTGAAGGTAGTTCTATTAATTATCCACGTCCACACTCTGGTACAGCAGAGTTAATTACATAATTAATGAATGGGAACGACAACTTGCTGTTGGGTTGAGGAAAAGTGATGGCTTTAACTTTTCTGTCACATACACCTCTCTGTCACAATAATGGGACAAATTTATTTACAGTTTATAGGCATATTATTCTGTTTCATAAAAATACGTAAGAACGAAATATAATATTCAGCATGCTGTTTTATGTGCTGTCCTAACATGGCAGTTTTAGCAAGATTTCTGTCAGAACTCTGCTAGGGTGACCTCACAGCTCACAAGTTCCCAAGCAGCAGCACATTGGTGCTGTCAGCAACAGATCTCACTGACCTTTGCCTGTCACACCTCTGACTTTGTGTGTGTGACATTTAGGCACACACAGAGATCCTACATATATTGAATAGGTAATATTTTCCCCCTTACCTGAGGCTGTCATGACAGGTGATGTCAGTGTTGGATTAGCAAAGTCTGTAACAAATCAAAGCAAACATTCAGCATGAGAAAGGTGTTTATTCTGCTTTAGGAAAGCAGGTGATTGAAAGGTTCAGGAGCAAGAAAGTGTATCACACCTAAATTCCAAATAATCTTTCCATGTACAACTCAGACAAGTAGTCCAGAAGGAAACATGAAATACCTGAGGTAACTGTGCTGAGAAATCCCTAGGGAAACAAAGGTTTTGTGGAAAACAACCTGTGGAGCCCCTGGCACTTCAGCTTAAAAACCAGAAATTAATCACATGGGTTTATTCCATACAAAGAATTGCACTGTATTGGCACAGATACCGAAAATACATTTACAACCTGGTGGTGGCACCTGCACAGTTTCATCATGGGGCCCTTCACAAGCTGCAACTCTGAGAGGAAATTTCAGCAACACTCTGCACTGAAAAGTGCTCACTGAGCCCTCAGAGAAGAGGAGGGGGAATTATTCCTTCAAATTAAACTCTGTTAACCACCCAGGCAAGCTCAGCAGAGACACCATTCTGCTCAAACAGCATATATGTCCTGAGATGTCTGTTTTCTTTTTTTTTTCTATTTTTTTTTTCCAGCAGGAGAGGCAAAGTACTTCCTGAGGAGACCAGGAGGATGGATAATGTCTCTCCAAAGAGGTCCATGAAGGAAGTGATCTATTAAAGCTCACATACTTCATTAGAAAAATATATGTGGGAAGGCAGCCAGGCAGGTGTGGAGGGCACTGGGTGGGACTGCAGACTGGATTTTAGTATAAGCAGTGACCATCCACCCTCCAGATGCTTTTCTGTGCCAGCACTTGTACCTCCTGTGACTGCTGCCCTTCCCTTTGCATTTCAGCTTAGCCTTGCCTGCACCAGCAGGGATTTCACAGCAGCTGGCTGACATGAAGGACTCCTCAGCAAAGATGCAGCAGGTCTAAAAACCAGAGCAGTGAGGCTCTTTGAGATGTGCCTGGCTCCCAGAGGGTCCTGCAGGGCAAAACAGGCTGGTGGCCAGATGCCAGCAGAGGAAAAATATCTCCCTCTCTCATGGCCCCCCCAGAAAATCATCTGGGATGATTTTCTACAACCTGCACTTGCAGAATTTTTTCACAAAACCCATACTTATTTTCATGCCACCTCCATAACATCATTTCTCTGATAAATTCATGTAACCCCCTGCTCCATGCTGACTCCCATGCAGAGCAGAGCAAAGCAAACTGCTCCAGGAGAGATGTTTCCAAAGAGCTTCTGCTGAGGTGTGGAGTGAACATTTATCTGTCTGCAATAAGCTGATAATAAGACAAACTTGCAGGGGAAGAGCAGGGATTTACCCAATTTACACAAATTAAGAAACATGATATCAGTTCTTTAATGTGGCAAAACTGTTGAGGATCTTGGCTCTGTGCTTAAATAGAATGTAGAACCATTAGCAGGGCTGTTATTTTTACTTATTAGCTCTGTACTGAAAAAGCTATATTCAAATGCCAGCTGAAGCATCAGAAATAACATTAAGTGCCCCTCAAGGCTGGAGTTTAATTGTGCTTGGTCTTAATTATAATAGATTACATCACAAAAATATTGGTTTATAGTATTTCCTCTGAAGTCAAAGCTGCAGAAAGGGGTTCCTTACTATCCATTTTGAGTAGTAAATGCTACAATATCTTTAGGACTTTATAAACACACCTCAAACACAACCCAGGTTATTTTATTCTCTAATTTATCCCACCATTTGAAACAGTGGTAGTAAAAACTTCAGCTGACGCTTCATTAGACTTATTGTCTGTGACAGGGAAAAAAAAAAAGAGAAAAATTAAAGCAGTTCTTAAAAGTAGTTATAAAGGCTGAAAATTTAGTTTGGGCTTGTGTCATATTGTGCACCTTCGCAGAAGGGGTGGCTGAGAATTAATGTAATTCTTTCCCTTCTGTCACATTTAAATACTTTAACATTTTTATACAGAGTGGAACTGTCTTAGCATGAGCATAGCCTGCAGGCAAGAACACAGACTGCTTTAACTGACAGCTCTTCGATGTGAATACATTTCTAGAAAACTGCAAATTGGGGGAAATGAGTCATTTTTGAGAAAAAAATAATGATTTATCTCCCTCCCCTCTGAAGTTGTGTTTCCAGAGGAGTAAGCTATGGCTTTTGCTGGTGAGTTACTTTGTGGAAAAACATATCAATAGGAATATACACAGCCACAAGAGAACCCAGCTGAGCTGCAAGTAGTTGCCATGGTAGGTGATGTGCCCCTAGGTGCTGCTAAGGGGTCAGCAGCTCAATTGTATTGTCTGTGCAGCAGGGAGCATACATAACTAAAAAAAAATAAATTAAAAAGGTATAAATATAAATTTGTACCTGAAGAGGAGGTATGCACAAGAGGGTGCTAAAGGAAATCTGTCTGTCCTTCTCACCAGTCACTCTGCATCTTCAGAGGTGCTGAAAACTTTACTGCCAAGTCTCCTGCTTTCACCAAAAAGCAGGACAGTATTTCTCCCCACTTCCCTAATCATGTCCTTAATTCTTGCAGTGCAGATTATAGGGGAGTTTCTGCACTGTCCACAGAGGTGCAGCCTTTTGCATGTTTTACTGAAGGTGTGTAACATAGCCCTGAGTGTGAGGATTTGATTTCCCAGAGAGCCAAGAGTGCTCCATGAGAAACACATAATTATAATGGCTCACTAGTGCCATGTGGCTATGTTAGAGTATTTTTGGGTGTGGGAAGTACAGCAAGATTCTGCCTAAACAAACAAATTCTTCTGTTTGTGCAGACCTTTCTTAGCTCATTCAGAGGTTTGAGCAAAGATTTAAGCCAAAAAAACTGCCAGAGAGTTCAAGCTGTGTGATGAACTTGTAAAATAAAGCTTCTATACTGTTAGCATTTCTTCAATATTTTAAATAGCAAGAGAATACATGTGTTTGGTATTCTTAAAATTTTAGATGTGTCCTAAGAAAAACCTACCGAAGGAAACAAATATTTCTTCTGATGAAATATTCCTTGTTTCATTTCCCAGGAAGGGAAACAGACACACACACGAGAATGTCTTATGTGTCTTATGGGTCCCTTGCAGCATCAGTGTTGATCTCAACTCATAGAAACCTTCACTGTCTTGCAAGTCTTCTTGTACCACAGAAATTTCTTGGGAAAGAAACAAAAAAAAAAAAAAAAAGAAAAGATGCTCTTGTTACACTCCAAACTCTAAGTCAGAATATATTGGTACTGGAAAGCAGGCTTATATAGCCACAGGTTTCTTTGCTGAGACACTGTCAAAGATTTGGCAAGAACAGTATGGTCATGGTGCCAGAGCTCACCCTGGGTCAGGGGTGGCTCTGTGTGGTGGAAAAGTTTCTCGTCCAACCCGTGCTTTCAAAGAAAAGCTCAGTAATCTTCTGTTGTTCAGTCTTAAGGCAGTTTATTGCAAGTTATCTAAAAGATTTTCTTCTGGGGCTGCTGTGGTTTGCTCACAGCTCAGGCAGAGGCACACACACACCCTGACATCCTCTCTGACTCCCGACTGCTTCTTCTCTCCCTGCCCAGGGCTGCTGCTGTCTTTTATATGGTACATTACGTGTTCCATGGGTACAGTTTGTCCCCAATGCCTATTACCTATATTAAATGGTGCTTTTCTATCTTTTATATGGTACATTACGTGTTACATGGGTACAGTTTTCCCCCAATGCCTATTACCTATATTAAATGGTGCTTTTCTACTCTAAACCAATCTGGGAGTGCCAACATCACCAAGAACATGGAGGTAAGGAAGAAGAAAGAGGGAGGACAGGGCAGGCCCAAATCCCTCCATCTTAAAACTTCTGACCCCCATATACAAAACCAAAACCCCCCTGTACAGCACTCAAAAATTCTTCCCTTTACTTTGTGACTATTTTTACTATAATATCTAAACTTTTGTGACTTGTTCTTCCTGCAAGGTTGGTAAATCATTCCATGGTTCAAACCCAAAATCACAGCTGTTTCCAGCTGCCTGACAGGGTCTCAAATGCTTCTGACCTGGGCCTGGAACCTCCAAAAATGTCTGAGGGACATTCTGAGTTCCGACAGTCATGCCAAACCATATTTCCCACCCCTGGCAGGGGGCTCTGGTCACATTTGCCAGCTGTTTCCTTTTGAGGAGGGCTGATGCTCTCTGCTTCAGCCACACAGACACCCACAGGTTCCCTGTAGCAGAAGTGGCTACGAGCCATGGTTTTCCCTGGGAGCCACTCCTGCAGCTGTGCTGTTTCCCTGGGGATGGGTTCTTTACCTCCAGGCTGCTCCGCCAGGCTCTCTCTATCCACGTACCACTGCAGGCTCGGCTTGGGAAACGCCTTCCTCACGACACAGCTCACGTTAGGCTGTGGGGCAGCACAAGGCATGGTTAGGTTACATATATATATATATATATATATATATATATATATATACACTGGAACTGGTAATGGGCACAGTGTGTGTGACGAGAATGAGACACTTTCTGATTGCCACGTAAACCCTTTCTTCCTTGGGCAGATAAAGGGATAATTCCCATGAAAAACACTGCCTAGCCCAATGAAATGTTGAATATACAAAATTGGATACCGCTGTATCAGACACAATATGTATGACATTTCCAGAAATCACACAGAATTGGATACCTTAGATGCAGTAGTCCTGGTTCTATGCTAATTGTTCCAAAGGTCTGTGTCTGTGCTCTGTTTAATTTCTCAGAAAACAACAGAAGGGCAGGACCTCAAAATCGAGGCTAGATGAAGGGTTGGGCACTAGCAGGGTGAGAGGCCTCATCCTCATGCTGCCCCGACATTCTCAAGTATTTTATTAGCAGGTTATGACACTGCTAAGCACTAAACACTGTTATAAGAGAAATGGCCTTGTTCTTTTCAACAGAAGACAAGAGCACGTGCCACCTGTACAGCACAAACCTCTCTTTCTCCCTCATTCAAAGAAAGCAGTTCCCACATTAAGTTGAAAGCAAGCTTGATGTATTGAAGCCAGCAGAAGTCAACCATTCAGTATGAAGACTGAAACTATCCAGCTGAAACTCTTTCCCTGCTATGGTAAACAGCATCTCAGTGTAATTGCTTTCTCCTATTTTCCTCTTCATTATTCCCTTTTTCTTCAGGCAGTTTTAGGTCATAATACTTTATAAATTCTTCCTATGAAGAAATAGAAATCTGATATCCTCACTAGATTTAAACCCTGCCAAAAAAAAAAAAAAAAAAAAAGGCAGAAAAGAGAAGTAAAAAGAAGCCTTCATTTGTTTGGAGGTGAAGAACAGACAGAGGCTCTTGGGGGAATTTCTATTGCCCTGTAGCAGCACCCCTTGCCCTGTTCAATGGGACAGTGCAGACAAAAGCCTGCAATGTCCAACACCATACCCAGAAACAGGTCACCAGGAAAATCATACCAGTTTGCAGCACCAACTGACTCGTGGATTGTGTGAAGTGGGTGGTTATGGACAGTACAAGGTTCTGCCTGCCCACAAGCTCTGCTTTCAAGGAAAACCTTCTTGATTTGAGGTACTTGCAGATCAAAAGCTTTAGCGTGGAGAGATGGAACAGGAAGCAAAGCACCACTGCTATTGCCAGAGAGACTTACTAGTCAGTCATATTAGCCACAAATCTGTTTTATGCCAAGCATGGCCAGTGCAATTCAGTAGGTGTGAGAACCTCTGGCCTGGTTCAGGGGTCTTGTGTGGTGGTAAAGTCTCTCCTCCAACCTGTGCTTCCAAAGAAAACTCTGCAGCCTCTTGTTCAGTCTCAAGGCAGTTTATTGCTGGTTATCTAAAAGATTGTCTTTGTGGGCTGTGGCTGCTTTGGTCAGCAGCTCAGGCAGAGACACACACACTCTTGACACCCTCACTGCCTGCTGTCTTCTTCTCTCTCCCCACCCAGGGCTGCTGCTGTCTTTTATATGATATATTACGTTATATGTTTACAGTTTTTCCCCAATACCTACTATCCATGTTACAATGTGCTTTTCTACTCTAAACCAATCCATAAGTGCCAGCATCACCAAGAACATGGAGGCAAGGAAGAAGAAGGAGGAAGAACAGGATCAGCCCACTTTCCTCCATCTTAGAACTCCTGACCCCTCTGTACAAAGTAAAACCTCCCTGTACAGGTGTTAAAACCCCCCTGTACAATACTAAAAAATTTTCCCCTCTATTTTGTAGCTACTTCTACTATACTATCTAACCCTCTGTGACCGCTTGTTCCACCTTCAAAGTTGGTAACTCATTCCATGGCTCAAACCCAAAATCACAGCTGTTTCCAGCTGCCTGCCAGGGTCTCAAATGCTTCTGACCAAGGCCTGGAACCTCTGAAAATGTCTGAGGGACATTTTGAGTTCTGACAAGCAGGATTTTAGGTTTTGTCCTTACCAAAACTGAACCAGAGGCCTGTACACCAGAGAAGTCCTTAGCTAGCCCTGGTTTGTGCTCAGTGCTGTGAGGGGAAAGGACACCTCATGGAAACTCAATTCCTTGCCTGCTGCCCTGTGAGCTCAGTCAGTTTGGAGGATGCCTCCTGTGCCTGATTCATCCCAGCTTGCCTGGCCCTGCTGGCAGTCACAGGCATCACTCTTTGCCCCAAAATTGCTCACCTTCTGTGAGGTGCTGGCTGAGCCCTCCTCCAGGCTAATGAGGATCTCGGGGTAAGCTGGAAAGCAAAAATAAATGTATTAGTGAAATGGACACTGCAGACCGCAGTGACAGCCTCCAATAACACCAATAGCCTTGTATCATGAGAAGAGTGGAAATTAAATCCTACCTCCAGCCACACATAAAGATAAAAGTGTTTACAGCAGCAATTTGAGGTCAAGGAAGTGGTTTACAAGACTGTATCAGCAGCTATTGCCACAGGATCCGGGATGCATTTCACCACCTACCTCAGCTAGGCTTGGGTGGCTTTTCTGGGGAAATGAGCTGAAACCATCCTGCAGCTCTGCCACCCTTCCTGGGCCCCATGAAATCACACACACCCCAGTTTCTGGTTCCTCTGTGTGCTGGCCAAAGGAGGTATCCCCAAAGGCTGTAGCCATCCCCCAGATGTTGATTGGTTTTGGATGCCAGCACCCAGATGCTGTTGCCTGGTCAGATGTGTGACAGAAGCTCAGAGCTGCAGGGCACTGATGACCACATCCACATGAAACAAAAAGCTGTTTTCTTCTGGTTTTGCAGCATTTTGATTCTGGGCACAGCTGATTGTATAAATTAAAACTATCAGATACTGTAAGCCTCTCTAAACTACATTTCCAAATTAGCCATTGTGATGCTTGGTTTGGAGCAATATTGGCTTGTTAAGTAAGGACAATTGAAATTGTGTTAATATATAATAAATCTCAAAAGCCTCAGATGAATTTGACTTCTGGCCCTTTCTGAGCCCTGAAACTGGACTGGAAACAAGTGCTCTCCCTGAATTACTTAGGAGATCCAAAATTCTTTATCTTTCCAACCTAAACTTCACTTTAATCTCTACCATTATAATAATTTTCTCTTTTTCTTACCCTGTTAATTGATACAGGACCACCTCAGTTAATTACATTCCCCCCTGAGGTGAACTATGCAGCTTTCCCTGTTTTATACAGCTAATCCACCAAGGACTCTCCTGACTTTATTTTTAATTTCCATTTTTCTGCCTGATGCTACTGATGGATTCTGCCTGGGCATGACTTACATTTAGTTATAATAGCCTTATGGTTTTCTGGTCTTATGATACTTTTTTGAGTGGAATTTCCTGGTTTTTTTTAATATCTTCTGGATTTTGGGTTTTTCTGCTTTTTTGGAGGGTGGGGTGGGGCAGGGGTTATAGATTCTTCCTATCAGGAAATGAGTGTCCCTAAGTTTTCATTCTTTCTTCTTTGCCAAAACTGTACAGATGATAGTGGAGCTGGCAGAAGACAGACAGACTTTTTCAGATACAGAGAAAAATCTGGCAAACTGTATCTTCTAATTGCTGGGAGTTGGCTAAATAATGCTGGTCTAGTGCACGCTCTTCCTTTTGTCTTGTTGATGAGAATGGATATGCTTTGCCACACCTGTATTGAGCACTGCCCTCTGTTTTCTCAGATGTGTTTGCTGGTAGCTGTTCTGGCAGGCAGCTCTCACACAGAGCTCTGAATGGTCTAATAGATCTTTTCCAATTAACATCTCAGCCCCTGTTAACATTTTGACATTCATTTGTCTTGCTAGGATATTTACCAATGTTTTGGATCTAGCAGAAATTCAATATTTAGTTCAGTAGTTTCTGCTGCTGGGCTTTTACTCTTACAAAAAGGAGAAATCAATATTTGGCAAAATTAGACGTGAAAAGGCCATATCTTTTCACAGCAGCTTGTATCTCAAAGAACTCTATTCTAGAAGAGAAATATTTGTAAGTATTTCAATCCAAAAGCACCCTCTTGAAAAAAGCTATCTTGATTAAATGTTTTTACCCAACATACCAAGACCTTCCTAGAGAGATCTTTGATGCCTTCTCCATCCTCTCCCATCCAATCCTCAGCCCCACTTGGACCACCTCAAGCAGCTGTGAGGGAACACTATTTAGCCCCCCTCAGACTCAGCCTGTCTCTGCTGTGTTCAGCCCTGCCTGAAATATTTTCCAGATATTTTTCAGAGGGATCCTGCATGAGCAGTTTCCCACAGGCACCCTCTCCTCCTCTGTGCTGCAATAGCTGCCTGCCCTCCCTGCCCTGCTTTTATCCACCCAGCCTGAGGAGCTCAGCCATGAGTGTTTGGGTGCCAGAGGAGATGCTGAATTGCCAAAATGGGAAAACCTCCCCATGTTTCCACTGGCCTTTTTCCCCTAGCTGTGCCCTTGCTGATGGCCAGGATGACAGATACAACCAACAGAAGGTGCTGTTGATTTTGGAGATTTCTATCTCTAGGTTGTGTCCCAAACTGCCAGAACACAAATATTCATTTCTTTATTCTTTGGTCAGCACAAGGAACAGCACAGGAGAGGCCTCTTTGTCCCCAGATGTCACCTAGAGAATGCTGGATTATCCTGGGCAGTGTCTGCCAGTGCTGTGGGCTGGCTTGGGGCAGGCTCTGAGCCCTCTACTCTTGGTCTCTCCCCCTGCTGCAGCACCAGAGAGAAAGGCTGGGATGGTGAAATCATAAGTGGCATGACTTCAGCAAATGGTAACAGGAAAGAGTGAGACAGGATGCAAAATAATTGTTTCACCTGCAAAATTCGGACATGAAAGGGCTAGGAGCACAAAAGAACACTTCCTGCCAGTGGTGGACTTTGCTTGGCTGAGGTCTGAGAGAATCGCTGGGAAATGCAGACTGTTCACCACCTGCTTTCTCTGGTTTGCCTCTCTACCCTGCTCTACTGATATTTTGATATAGGTTCATGCACAGCTAAGCACACATCTCGCAGTAATTCAGAGGAAAAGCTAAATAAAGCGACCACTTAGTAAGAGACACACAAATCTAGGCAAGAACATCAGCAGTGATGAAAGAGAGTTCAAGTATATTAGTATCCTTGAATGATTACCCAGATAACACTGTTGATATTTGAGAAATGTTGATTTTAGAAAGTGTCTGAATCATACAAACGTAAGAGGAGGTTTCAGATCATTAACTTCTATTTTTATTTCTTTTACATCAGTGACCAACAGCCTCCAGACACATTTTGCTTTTTTTCATCTGCTCCCTGCTGAACTTCTCTTTGAATTCAGAGCATCAGCCTTGAATGGCCATGCCATCCTCAAGCTGTGAGCTTCCTTGGACAATCAGCTACAGCCAAGGGACTGTTGACAGGCCCAGTGTTTGATATTCATTTACTTTTGAAGCTTTGGAAATATCTTTTCCAGACCAACTGATCTCTAAAGACAAAATAAACTCTGGTTTTCAAGTGGGTAGCAATTTTCTGACTCAGTTGTACCTTAGTGACAGCAGAGCAGTTCCTAAGCCACTTGAAAGGGAACAGGGCAAATAAGTAAAGATGGGGAAGGCTTACAAAATGAAATGCCAGCCCACATGTTTGCAGTACACAGGCTCTGCCACTCCAATTTGAGACCCCTCACCAGGATCCTCATTTCCAGACCCTCATGTCCTCATTTTGGCAGCAGTTGAATGTCACATGCCTTTGAGGATGTCATTTTGCTACAACTGTAGTCCCAAACTGCTTCCTAAATTGTGGCCATGATTTCCTAACCACAGACAGCATTGGGACATGGAGATCTTCATGACCAATGTGTTTTCCTGTAACCCACAAAATCCCAACATAAGCCTACACATCAGGGTAAGATTCTTGCCATCTGCATGACATTGATATATGTGCAATGAATCTACTATTTTTTCCTGCAAAAACTTGAAGGAAGAGACTCAAATTCTTCTAAGAACTCCAGGGATTACTACCATTTTATGTCATTGCAGCTGGAAAAAATGACAAGATAAATATGTTTACATTAAAAACCCCCAGTATCTGTCAAAAGTGATTGGTTTCAGAATCAGACAGGAGGGTCACCTTTCCAAGTGCAAGGAAGCTGGCATAAGCCCCTTACCAAATACTCTCACAGTGGTGCTGCTCTTCTGGACTCTCTCTGGGTGGTAGAGCACGTGGCAGGAAAAGACTCTGCCATCATCAGTGATTTTGGTGGGGAAAACCTTTAGAGTGTTGTTCAAACCCAGGAGGACTCTCTGCCTGTGCAGCATGCTGCTGTTCCTGTACACAGCAGGACAAGAGGGCTCCTTGGTCACAAGTTCCTCCTTCCTCCCATTTTCATCCTGTGTATGGAAAAACCAACAAAATTGTGAAGTCCAGACACACACACAGAGAAATATTTTTGTAAGCCAAAAATTCCCACTTTGAAAAGTCTCCCTTGCACATTGTGTAGCAGTAAGTGGATATTTGCAACATCTGGGGTTTTTTCCCCCAAATATATTCTCTCTCAGAAATTCAATACTAAGAGCAGTCATCATCTTGACAATAAAATATGGAATAAATAGCTGTGTCTTATGAGTCCTGCTCTCTGTAGCCTGCAGAGAGCTTTCTCACTGTACCAGTCTTTAAGTTATGCTGAACACCCCATACATATGAGATGTGACTGAAATGTCAACGAAAACTTTGCTCTTACAGAATTTCAAGTAACAAACCCTGATAATAACAACTAAAATTTGTCTCATTGTCTGTCTGGCAGCCACCCTTGGTTATAAGTACAGCCAGCATGTCCTGGACATCTGTGCCTCAGTACATATTTGCAAGCTTTACTTTGTATGATGCATGGCAACCCACATATATCACTGTGCTGACCTTTGGGGATTTTTTTCCCCTTTCCTCTGCTACTTTGTAGAGTGAACCAGCAAAACTGATGTAGTAAAGGTAAGGGTGTTCCCTACAAAAAGATTTAAAATTTTAATATTATGAATGACCTGCATTAGGGAGATCTAAATAGATAATGAACCAGGACAGAAGGTTAAAAAGACCTAAACTATTTGAAAATCACTTTTAAGGAAATCCTCAACAGTTACAGCTTATCAGTGACAACATACATAAATGAACAGGAAAAGCTCAAGGACACTACTCACTGATACTTATCTCTACACACTGAAATGAATGCTAAAAGGTTGCATTAAAACATGCATATAAATATTTATCCAGATAGTGAGATAAAGTACAAAAATACAGCAAGCTTTGTATCTGACAGAAAATTGCTTAAAACCAGTTTTTCATGGGGTTAGCTTGATAACTGGGTTTGCTTGTCTTCAGTGGCATCTGTGACACAAAACCAAAAACATTAGCCAGTACCTTTCTTTTCTATGTCAAAACAGCTTGATATCTCACTATCCTACACAGTAACCATGTATTTTTCAGATACTAAAGCTTCACTACAGAAAAGCTCACTGGAAATCCAATACAATAAATATTTTAGTTTTGTTATATTAGACCTTTTCCTAGACCCGCTCTGTATGTGCTCCTGAAAAATTCGAAGCAATTAAGATGGAATTTTTCCTCTTTGTTTCTTGAACAGGTATTATGTGCAGTGTATATTTTGCAAGCCTATGGTTATACTTTTCCCCTTTATTATCACAGTCCAATATGACTGGTAAGTTTTTTAGCAGATTCTGCAGGCAGGACACAGTAGAGTAGAACATTTTCATTTCAATTTGCAAAAATACCCTGTAGTTCTTTCTGAACTTTATATCTGAGATGAAAAATACTTACCACTAGCCATTTCAAAGGATAAGTGGACAAATTTTCTGAGGTCGCATCCTCAAGGCATGGAATTTCCAAAGTCTGCTTTAACCACACTTTCTTCAGGTAGTGCCTCTCCTCTTTCATCATTGGAACAACAACAAAATCCAAGAAGGAAAATCAGAAACATGACGTTCATTGTGCTTTGAAAACCAATACTGAGTAGTCTTCTGTTCAAGGAACAGGCACTTTTTGCTTTAGAGGGGAACTGTAATTTTCAACCATTACCCCTAGATACATTTTTTAAGTAAAAGCCCTGCTTCTGATTCTAGTTGCAGTTTCATGACTCAATTCCCAGCATTACCCGAACTTTTTGGCAATTCTTAAAAAAGCTTTTCTTAACTGCAGGATCATGATGTCTCCTTTCGGAGCTGAGAATAATTGGAAGCTTCAAATTTTATCTTACAATTCCTTTTTTTTCCTGTGGCAATAAACCTTCACATCAATTTTGTGCACCTCCATTTCATTTTCTCTGAAGATATCTGCAGACCTTTTTTTCACTAGGCAAGCTATTCAGCATGTCAGTTAGGTTAAGACTAACCCTGGTTTTCAGTGTAAGTGCTCCTTTTGTTATTCTCCAACCTGCCCATTACCACAAAACTTGTCACTATTTCCTTTCTTATCAATTTCAAAAGTAATTTCACCACCTCCTACCCTTCTCATTCTCAATCCAGGGCTCCATCCAGCTGTGAAGGCTGGGCAGAATGGGGCAGTGGACAACTGCTGATCCAGATGTTGTGTCTGTGAGTGTGCACATGTGCATTTAAGCAGGAAGAGCAGTGGTGATGGGTGGGAGATGCTGTGAGTGCCACGGTCAGCACTGACCCTTGGCCACAGGGCAGGCAGGGATGTGGCACATCCTGCCATCCCCCCGTGCCCTCAGACCTGCCTTCCCTCCTCCTTGGAGGCAAGGCACCAGCACACAGCACAGGTAAGAGCAGTCATCATCTTGACAATAAAATATGGAATAAATTGCTGTGTCTTGTGAGTTCTCTGATCACAGGGAAACTCCTCAGCTCTGCTCCCCTGGCAGCTCTGGCTTGCATGTTGATGATAGTAAAAGGGGTTTAAAATCATGGGGATTTAGGGTTAACAGGAAAATAAGCTTAGTAGGCCCTGGAAAAATAAATACCTTAAGCACATGAAGAACTTGTACTTGCTAGAACGGCACTATGTAGCTAGTACATGATAAAGGATATAATTCTTAGATGTGATGATTGTTTAGTAATTAAATATAATTACTGTTTAATCAGAAAGAATAATCATGAGAAACTGTGGTCAGGTGCCTAAGAAAGATCACGATAAACTCATGTCAATGTATGCAATAGAACAATGTAAGTTTAATAATTAATGTGTAAGTTATATAACGATAGAATATAAAATAGTTCAGCTCGAAAGCCATGTCAGAGTCAGATTTGGGTTTGTACCCCGACTCCCAGAGCTCTCAATAAAAGCACCTGCAGATAATCATATCCCATGATTATGTGTGTTTCTGAATGCTAACATTGAGATAGAACAGGGATGTATTTAATTTATTTCTTATCTTGAGGGGAGTGAGACTATCCAGCTATCCCACACTGCCATGTTATTTGTCACTGGGGACTTTCTGGTGGCTGAAACTTCCTTTGTACCTGTCACCCAAGCAATGGTGCCAGCATGCAGCCTGTGCCAGAGAGATGTGAAGAGAGGCAGAGCCCTGAGCTGAGCCCAGCAGAAGGAGCTTCCCTCCATTGTCCCTGAGAATAAAGAAACTGAGGAGCCAGCTCTCACAGCAGGGCACAGAGCACAGAAACCCTAACAGGATTGGGCAGTGCAGAGAGGATAATGAAAGGACAAAACAAGTAAATCCATAGTTTCTCCAGGAACAAACCTGTACAGAAGAGTTTGCTGGGACAAACCACCACACAGAAGTGCTGTGCAGGATACAGCAAGCGTGGAGAGGAGTAGTCACCCCAGAGTTCAGTCTGGAAACAGCTTCTGCCTACTCTCACAGCCACATGTCCCAGCTGCTTGCTTCCCCCTCCCATCTCTGACTCCCATCTCCATTAACAGCCTGTTGGCTAAAGTCCTCTGTGTGTTTGTCTGTCTGTCCTATGAAGGCCTGCTGCTCTGTGAGCTTTTTACAAGTTGAGTGCATCTGGATTCACTTCACTTTGATGTAAATGAAAACTGTACTTCATCATAGGCTGTCACCTTTATCCATCCCACTCACTCACTCATAAGGATTAAGGATTTTTGCCTTTTGAGTCAGAGTGGTTTGTTGCAGAACATCCAGTTACCTTAAGACACAAACCTGCAAAAGGTGGCAAACTCAATTTTTTAGTTCTCTCTAGCAAGCAGCCATCAGTAGCACAGCTTGCTACGTCTCGTAGTTACTGAAAAAAGCCACAATGATGCTGATATGAACAAGAGCTGCCCACGCCACAAACAGCAATAACAGCATTGAACCTGTCTGCATCAACCAAGGGCAGGAGAAGAGAAGCAATGCCCAATTAGCTCAGTTACTGCACTAAGGAAGAGATGGAGAAACAGCATGAAGAACAGAAGCATGGGAGGGTTTCACAGGGCTACCAGCATGGTTTGTACCTCACTGCACTCCCCTGGATCCCTCTGCCCTGTGGAGCACAGGGAAATTCCAGAAGGGGAGCCTACCACAACACATCCCCACGCAGCGGGCAGAGTGGCAGCTTCAGCTCTGGCACAATTATTCAGCGTGTGCTGGGCAGAGGTTCTGGCTCTCACTTTGCCTCTGTGAGTTCATCAGGTGCCCCAGGGCTGCCCCAGATGTGTCTCCAGGATAACAGCACCAAAATGCTCGGAGCCACTGCCATGCAGGGGCTGTCGGCGTTCAACATCCCTGAGTTGAGTCTTGTACAGGACCTCCTCTTGCTACAGGAGGGATCCAGCATGGGGACAACCAGTCTGGCCTTGTGATGTAGGTAAAAGGGCAGTGGGAGCACACCAAAATACCCCTAAAATAACCTGCACCCACCCTGCTCCTGACTCTTGAATCTCTGCTGTGTCTACGGCCCAGGGCACAAGCAGGGTGAGCACGTTGGCCTTGCAGCTCCGAACTGAAACAGTGCCAGGTTTGTTGTAGTTACTTTAATCCTTCTGTTAGCAGAAACCTGGATCAGAAAGAGGTCATCAAATCCAGTTCCCCATGTGCACAACAACAGGCTTGCTCAACACCCATGCCAAATTCCATCTCCACAGCAGTTGGGGCTTTTGCCCTCACTGCTAACACTAAATAGCTGTTCCCAAAGTTGCTACACTGACAATTGCCACTGTTTTTTAATTTGTTGTCAAACCCATTCTCATCTGATTTAAATAAATTTGTTCCTTTATCAGGATAATTTAAATATCCTTCCTGGAGTTCACATTCTCCCTTGAGGCTTACTCACTGAGAGCAGTCATGCTGCTTTCCAGCTTCCTTTTGCCTGACAGAAGCAGCCAAATCTCCAATCCTGTGATTCTCCTAAACAATTCCCTACTTTGCTCCAGTGTATTTTAGGTGGTGGCGATGCCTTCAGTTTTAGCTTTTGTATTTTTCAGGTTCTGTGCTGCTTTAGTGTGTAGTTCTGAGCTTCATATTAAGGCTTGGTAAGCTCTCTTCACAGCTCAAGTAAACAAAACAATTCCTTTTCTAGCTTGGGACCAAGGAAAATTGGTACTTGTGTGGGCCAAGAGCATAAACAACAGTGGACTGAAGAGAGAAAACAAGAAGGATGGGACTTCATACCCTAAAGCTGTAATTGGACAATTAACTTGAATATGTAAACAGACCAAAACTTTTAAAAATATGAGACCTTGGGACCAGGTGTCCATTTTGTGACCATTTTGGGATCATCTTGGGTGTAGGCCTGGCTGGGCTCTTGTACTGCCTAAGGAGTATCTTGGCACCTTGTTGAGGCATTTTAATAAATACCTGTTTTTTTTTTTTTTAACTCTGTCTAGCCTCTGTTCTAGGTCAGCCTTCACCAGGCTTCAGTGGGGACACTCATCCTTCCATGGAGCTGACATCCAGCGTGCTCTGCAGATGCCAGCCCTCAGCCCCAGTCAGACAAGGGTGTTTTCTCTTTATGGCTCCCAGTGCTGTACGCCCACAGCAGCAGCTGTGAGATCCAACATCCTTAGTCCCACCATATCCTGAGCTGCTCATCCAGCCTCCTCCACAATGTTTCTCCAAAATGAAAATGCACAAACTGCCCACCTCACCACCTTTTTTTTTACTTTACTATCGAAATTTTTATTCCACCAAACAATTAAGGTTTCCTAATCATGAGTTGGATGAAAGAGCTAAAGAGTGCCTGGTAAATAGGAAACTGTAAAAGCAACATTCAGTGACACTACTGTGAATCCCAAACAAGTCACCATCACCAACAAAGAAGGTTCATCTATCCTGATATCTTCCTCTACCTCATTAGGAAACAACAGGATCTCATTTGCAATCACTTACCTTCTGCCTTGACAGTAAGTTGAATTTTTGTGGCCTTTGTCCCATATGGGTAAGTAGCAAAAGTGCACTCGTACTGCCCAGTAAGGGACATGGTAATATTTTCCAGATGCAGCACCCACCAATTGCATTCAGATGTTGCATTTAGAGTGGAGGAACACAAGGATCCTGCGTTGTCCCCACTGCAGCACCTCCTCGTGCTGAAGGACGCTGAAAAGTTGTAAGCAGCCTCAGAAAACTCGAAGTAATGGGTGCCATAGGAGGGGTGATATACAGCTATTTTGGCAGAGGGGCTGCTGTCAGTCTTGGACCACTGAGTCTGTATGATGTGGGTGCTGTGCAGTTTTGGGAACAGACACGCCAGGGTCACGTCAGCACCTGGCAGAGCATGGACCACTTCTGTCTGGGTAATGACATCTGCAGTCTGGCCTTAAGAAAACAAACAGGATCATTTTCAGTGCAAGTAATATTTAAGCAAAGCTTTTCCTAATCCATCTTTGACATGATTTGGTGCCTTAGCCACACAACTATGAAGACCCTACAACTGTAAGCACAGGCTTCCCAGCAAATCTCCACCAGCACTGAAAAGAGAGAAAATTGGGAGTGTGTGTGTCTGGAAGAGGCCAGGGAGGTCTTGTCACACTTGTTGGAGAGAAATGAGAGCTCTGAGGGCCTCTGTGAAAATGTCAATCTTTCAAATAATATAAATAAAGCAGAAGCTGGACATAGTTATTCCCCAGTTATTTTTTGCAAGAATAAATGAGCTATCCCCACTGGCTAATTCCCTGCACATTCCCCTGCCCATCGCCTTTGTGGCTTCAGCAGAGAAAGCTGTTCTCTATATTATTAAACAGCTTCTGCTCAGTGTCTGTCTCAGTGTCAAAGCTGCTCTAGTGTGTGTGTTTTCTTCCTCTATTAATTTCATAAAGCAGGTGGCAGTCCTCAGTGTGCCACATAAAGGAGTAATGGATCGATGAAATGAAGGGGTATTCAGCAGGAGCCTGTACCACTTGGTTTAGCTGCTGTTGTAATAGAATTGATTTATAGCCCTTTCTCCCTCCTATGAGTAAGAGTCTGGCAGTCCCCAAACCCCTGAATGCAGGGCACTGACAAACTCAAGGAGATGAAGAATTTATGGAGGGGGTTGTTGCAGTGAGATGTGTAATCAATCACTTCCATAGAGCTGTACACAAAAACTCCCTTTTCCAAAAGGATACGTGGGTCCACAGAAAAATATGAGCTGTGCAGTTGTCCTTAGGTACAGACTTGTTGCCCCCATTTACATTCCATTTTATCATCCTCCCTGTGTATCATAACATCCCTGTATATTTGCCTTGGGAATTTGCCCTGCAGTCCTGCCAGCTGCAAGTGCCCACTGCTCAGCTTCTTTCCTTGAGAAAGCTGGGTACCAATTCCTTTGCTTTGCCATTTTCTCTCCTGTGTGGTAAATGGCTCTGGGGCACCTGAGCCAGGGGGGGCTGCCAGGGCTCAGACATCCTCAGTGGGGCTGCAGTGTGGCCCACACTCCCCCAGCTCAGCCAGGAGGGAGCCAGGCAGGGACCCTGCACACCCTCAGCTCTGGCTTGACAGGGAAAAAGCACAAGGGCAGAGGGACACAGAGCTGGCCCCAGTTTGGTACCTGTACACTGAAGGGTGACATGGACACTTGGAGATGTGTGGAGAACAAAGCTACTGAATGGCCATGGCCAACATTAATCTCTGCTGTTTCACTGCTGCACGTGTTCTGCTCATCTTTTATTATAAAGGATGTGATGATGTAAGAGGGTAAATAAAAATCAGCCTGAATGACAAGTCTCACAGCTTTGTGCTGTTGAGAAAAATTACTAAAACTATTTTTGTTAGTCCAGGGAGCTTATTATAGGAAATGCTCTCTGATTTCACCACAAGTTTAGCATCGGTAAAAGTTAAAGGAAAAGCAATTAGGAATCTTGCAATCAGACTATCAAGCAAAAGACACGCAGCATTTTTTCTCTCATATTCATGCTGATGGTGCCTTAGGTCTAAGACTCATATAAAGAATGCCTATGAAGAACCACTAGAGTAATTTATCTTAAGTTGAAAAGGTAATATATTTAGAAACAACATTTTAATTTGCATTATTTCTTAACAGCCTAGCATATTACATTATACTGAAAACATTTCATGGAAAAGTGTTCTTAACTTTTTGCTAGCATCTCAATATACGTAATCTCATTTTATGTCAACTTTATTTTTCAACATTAAATAGTGTCCATTAGTGCATACCTATGCTCCAACTGAAATTTCCTAGAGTAACTCCCAGACTTTTAGGTGCCTGACCTCCACAAAGGGCATAGAGGCCTCTATTTTCACCTTTGAGTGAGTTCAGTGAGGATTTCATCCTCAGGGGCAAAAACCCTCCAATTCCTGTTTTTCTGTAATTTCTATTTCTTTCTTACATGTGCATGTTTTGAGGTTTCTATTCCTTTCTTTGCACTTGAGATTTTCTATTTTGTATGGATACAGATATGAATTATTTTTATTTTAAGAACCAGTTTGCCTCAGTGATGTAACAAAAAAGAACAGCCTATGCCAAATTGTGAGATTAGCATCCTTCCATGCTAATCAAATACATGCAGTTTTTCCCTTCTTAAATCAAAAATTCTGTATCCTACAAAAGTGTTGCTTCTAGCTGGTAATATGTATTCCTGCATTTATCATTGGTCAGAATTTTGAGGGGGTAGAGGTGGGGCTTTGTGAACACCATCCCTTTTCTTGGTTTTCCTCAGTTTGCTTTTAGTTTAAATTCCCTCTGACAAAGGTGCAGCCCTCCTCAGTCATCTTTTCTAAGTGTTTTACTTGAATGACAAACTTGTTTCTCAAGATGTTAGGTGAGAAGAATCTGTTTAAGGGGTTGCCCCTGTACAATTTACTCTTGACTCGAAATGTTTCAATTATTCCTCTCTCTGCATACACAGGTATGTAAGACAGAGACAGAGAAGTATTTTTTGTTTTCCCACTGAAAGCAGTTTTCCTTTTGGCCCATTTGAGAGGAGCACACATTGCCCTAACTTTAAGTGAGTTCATCCCAGCGATTATTCCAGCAGGATAGGCATGTTGAATTAAATAATCTGCTCAGCACCAGCCATTTACTCCTTACTAGCTGCACATTATAACTAGGGTTATTAGAAAGTTGTCAGGAAATAGAAAATCATCACCAGCAGCTACAGGTCACCCTAGTGACACCCACTAATCCCAGCTTGCTCCTCACCACCTGCCATCATAAACTGAGTCAGGGCATCCCCTGTCCCACTCTTACCTGTGACACTGGGCACTGAGAGCAAACAAAAGAGAGAGAAAAGCCACCTTGCTTTCATCTTCACTTGATGAAGTTCTGGTGAATGTGCAGCTCTCTTGGTGCTCCCTCAGAAAAGGAAGTAGAAGTGGCCTGCCCCGTGCAGACAGGCAGATGTGCAGCACACTCACTCAGCATGACTTCAAGGAAATGCTTCATTAAACTGAAAGCCTCCGTTTCCTGCCAGAGTGATAAAATAAATATATCTTGTGAAACCTTTAAGATAAAAACATCACCTACATTTTAGCTCATGTTGAAAACCAATTATTTTTTCCTTTGCCTTTTCAGATTAACTCAGATTAAGCAGTTTACTGATTTACACTGTCTCAAAGATATGCCAGGTACCCAAGTCTGAATATATAATTTTCAGGGATATAATTTAGGGGTGATCATGGTGGTGCCAGGTTAGCTGTTGGAATTTTTCTTGAAGGTCTCCTCCAACAGTGATGATTTTGTATGTTCTTTGTACTATAAGGTAGGTAGCATACAAAAAAGCTGATTTCCTTTCTTTGTTCTTTTTCTTCATGTGTTAGTTTCACAAATACTATTTCTATACAGTCTACATTCGGTATCTTTTAAAAACACAGCAAAACATCATAAACAATCTCTAGAAATTAATACAGATTGAAATAAGTGATTGTAGAGTCACTTTTCCCCCCTTCTTTTTCTTCCTAAGAATTCAAATTATTTTCTGCAGTTTGATGAATTCCGATATCACATGAGACAATGTCCCTTGGTGTGGTTAATGTCCTTCAGATGTCAGTTTTGGGAATGGCAGCACCCTCAGGTGGAGGGGCTTGATTCCTTGATTTCCTGCAGTAAAGACATGTGAATTCCTTGATTCACATGTCTTTACTGCAGGTCACCTGTGCATCCTTCTGAGCTGTCCTGGAAGCACACTGCATTTCCACCAGCTAGGCACAGACCTGCTAGCAAAGCATCTCATTGCAGGCAAGTCATGCAAATTTGCTGCTGTTGGCAGCTTTTCAGAAAGAAACAGGTTTGAGTTCTTGCTTGTCATGCTTCTTTCCCCCAAGCCAAAGAGCAGAGCAGGACACCTCAGATGTGTGTTTTGTGCTTGCTCTTCACTGTGTGGATGTTTGGCAGGACAGATGGGCAGCTGCTTGTTGCCCCTGATAGTTCCATCCTTGGGGACCCAAGGACATCCCACCATATGGATTTTGTGACAGAGCTTATTACAGCCCATTCCTCAGGGAAGAGAAAGCAAGTGTCACCTTAAACAGGCACGTCTCTCTACCAGCAGTGCCCTCCCTCAGGAGGGACTCCTTGGCTGAGTCCTGACGTGTGTTTTCCTGACTGCCAACTTTTGCTGACCGTGGACCTCCCCATACCTCCAGCATGCAAGGTACAAAGTGAAAGGTGAAAAAGGTTCTGGTCATTTTCCTCTTTGGTGACCTGCCAGGTATTAACAACATCTATGCCACTTCCCTCATTTGTGCATATGCAAATTTTGATGTCACATTTAAATAGGCTCCAGCTGGAGCTGTAGTGCAGGCCAGGCTACGTCAGGGCTCCACACGTCCTGAAGAATAAATGCTGCTGCACAATCTTCTTTTTGTTTGCATTGCTCTTCTACCTGAGGAAATGTACTAAGAGCACTTGTAGGAAATGCATTGGATGCCCAGGTTACTGCTAAAGAAATTTTCCCTGGGTGTGAAATCTTGGCTTGTCATTCAGAAATCTGACTGAGAAAGAGCTGTCCTAGATGATCAAGAAGTCCTGAAGCTATGAGGATGAACAGAATATTCAAGCCATGGCAACTGACAGACACAGAAGGGAGTAAAAATACTAAAGGGATATGTTCTGGTTTCCGCTTCAGAGCAAAGACCACAAAGGATACAGAGATTACCTGCAGATACTAGAGTCCAAGAAAATCTGGCTTTAGTCTAAAATTTGGATTTTCATTTATGATTGCAGTTACCTTAGCTTCTCCTGCTGATCAGGTCATGTAAGCTTTATACCATGAGAGAATGTATTTTGTCTTAAATGAGATTTTTTATTGATCTGAAACACACGTCACAAATTGACAAGACAGCCCAAGCGCTGTGTGGCATATTCAAGAGACAAAGAAATCCCTGAGCAGCTTGAGTTTCTAGATCATTGTATCTTGCCCTTAGAATTTGTTTCTCCCCCTAAAATAACATCCTAAAAATATACTGCTGCCACGTGTCATTGTGTTGGCTGAATGCAGCCACCCAGCTCTGTTGCTGTGCTTGGTGATTAAAGGCAGACAAGAAAGAAACCTCCCAGCATGATGGAATTTTGTTCCATTCAGAGCTGTGTTTTGCCCCAGTTCCTACCTTAAGCCCAGATCCTGAAACAGCCATCCTGCTGCTGACATTCATGTGTGTGAACAGCATAGCCCTCCTCTGCAAACGATGGCAAAACCCCTTCTGAGACACGCCACTTATCTCACCTGCTGGCAGGGAGACATCTCTTCCCTGGAGCCAGACTCGAAGTCCTGCTCACAGCAAATTATTATCAGAGTTTCTTCCCCCTCTCCCCCTTTCCTGGAAAGTTACTTACAGGCAGTTTTGCAAAGGCCACGGGTGGATGTTACACGCCAGGTTACCAGGAGGTACTGAAACATATCCAGGGACAGTGGACCTCGTGGGCAGCTGGAGGGAGGACGCACCTGTATTTGGCTTTTCCTTGGTGGAGAAGCTACAGGGATGATTGTCTCAGATCTGGAATGTGCAGGTTTTTCCTGCCATTCCAGAGGCACCCAGAAATCGCTGCAAGGCTGGGAGGTTTCAGAGGAAAAGCTGTGCTCAAGCAAGTGACACACCTTGCCAGTGGATGTGTGAAGCACAGGGTTTTCTTTTTAGGACAAACATTTGACCTGGTTGATAGTCCCCTGTGTCCCAGGTGGTGGCAGGAGCAGATGGGCTCTGAATATCATCGAGGATGGGTCCTTGACAGTGTGCTGCAGCGAGGGGCTGTGCCCACTGCACAGCAACACCACATGCAGCATTATTTTTTTTTTCATTCTGGTGGCAGTAGAGGATGGCAGTGGGAAATCCTTTAATTATTTTCTGCAGGTCTCTTCACCACTGGAGGAAGGATTTTAAACACTACAAATGACTCTTTCCACAGCAATCACCCTATTATGTGTCATGCTCACAAAACCCTCCACTGCAATACATTTCTTCTGCCTCAATTACAGTAAGCTGTACCTAAGGAGGAAGCACAGCTACAGTCAGTCCCACAGAAAAAGAAATCTTGAACTCCAGAGACAAATTCAATTATTCACAAAGAGAGGCTTTTTAGAAATGCCAGTGCACGAGCCGTTCCTGCCAGCGGCGAGGATGATTACCCTTGCAGACTGGTGTCCTCTAAACATTGCTTAAAGAAAGCACAGGTCCCCGGTGGAAGACAGAGGAAGACTTTGAAGCAGGAATTTCATTAAAGACTAAACTAACCTTTCAGGTTTGCTTGGCACTTGGCACAGAAACTCCCACTTCATCACTGTGTTTTGGTTTTGAGCTGCTTTGAAAGCTGCACCAGTGACTCCACAGCCAGCTGGCCCCTTTGACCACTCGTGGGGGTTGGATGAGTGGGTGGCAGGGCTGGGGGGCAGCTTGGCAGGGCACTGAATTGGCAGTGGGACACCCACTGGGCTTTTTCAGTGACCGCCTGCTCCTTCTGTCACCCCTTCCCACTCCTAGTTCCTCTCTCCTGCTCACAGCACTGCCTCTTCTGCATGTGGGGGACAAGATGGAAGAGGGTTTCTTCCTCTGCTTCCTCCTTGTACTCCTCCTCCCTCACAGCTGCATGTGCACACTTACACCTTGTGTACAACACAGTCCAGCCAGGCTCTGGAGGCAGCATGGCAAGGCACACCATGCTTTGCCTCCACCAGCAGTTTCTCCATCTGAAAGATGTTGATTGCTCCGAGTGAATTTTTTTCTCTATTACCTCACTGACAGGTCAGAGTATGGGAAAAAACCAAGAACAGCTCACCCCTAGGTGCCTTCCTGCTTCAACTTTCTAATTACTTTTTCTAATTAGGCAGCCTGACTTACAAGTCATGTTTTAGAGAAAGAAAGCAAATGTTTGGGGATAAACAGAGGAGAATGAGCTCCCAACCTTCTCTGCCATTCCAGCCACAGGTCCCTGTGGTCCTCTGCTCCCATTTAATGCAATTTCTGACCAATGATGTTCTCTCGGGGTAAGCTGTTGAGCTTTTTGATGTGCAAAGTGCAAGTTGCTGAAAAAGCAGAGTATAAAAAGTGCAACCAATGAGCAAAACAAAACAAATAACAGGCACATTGACCCAACAATTACCCACTAATGAAATACCACTGTGTGAAATCCAGCTGGATATTTCCATGAAAATTAAAGACTCTACACAGCCATTACTTTTAAAATGAAAAGGAAGGCACACATGAGACCAACCCTGCTTTCTTTGGTACATTCTCTTTTCTAGATACAGCACAAGCTGCGATTCCCCACTGTTTCCAACAGCATCAGCTAAAGGCTTTTTTCTTGTACATCTCATCTTCCAGGTTTTGTAAGAAAATGTTTCAAAGTAGATTAAGAACTGTGTACCAAAATGTAATGGCACCCATAACGTTGAAAAAGGCATTTGTTTGAAAAGGAAAACCCACTGCCAGTGCTGGGAAACATCTGCTCATGTGAGACTACATGGTTAAGGTTCCACTGAAGCCTCCCAGAAGGGCCATGTCATCCCCATGCCACATTGGCAGCAGCTTGAGAAACTTGGAGCAACTTTTGTGAATCATTCCAGCAAGAAGTGTCTGCTTGTGAAAGAGTTTTTCTCAGACACAGCTTGTGGGCTTTGAGTGGCACACAACAGAGGGAGTTAATAAGACAAGCAACAGACCACCTGGTCAGAATGGAAAAGTTTATGTTCACTTCTGAAGTGATGTAAACCTAGATGGGCTGTACAGCTCGTTTTACCATGCAGACTATCTCCAATGGGTTGTGTTCCCCAACTAATTTAAATTCATCCATACTATTGTATGAAAATACCTTCTTGAAGGCACACAGCCACCTGGCGAGGGCACAACACGGCACACTGGTTAGAATTCACCACTGAGGAAACACATCAAATAGAAAAGATTAAAGGTGTGAACAAATAGAAAGATTAAAGGTGTGAAAGGTAACTTCAGATGCAGTAGCAGTGACAATTTGAAGGCAGCAGAACTCTCTTTATCAGAAAAGAAATAAAATAATTTACAACAATAAAAGGCCAAGTTTCAAGTGACACTAAGAACCATAATGTCACCCCGATTCTTAAGTTTTTCTAAAACCTTCTGAGTTTACATTCTGTTGGAAAACTTTCCCACACAATTTCTGTAAACAACATATTGTTTTGCATTCCATCATGGGGGTGGAGAAACTTGATGTACTAGTGGTTTGTCCAATGTCTTTGGAGAGGTGGCCCATTCACTCTCCAATCCACTGTCACCTTTGGAAAAGTATAAATGCTGGAGTCAGAAAATAAACTTTCTCTTTTACCTTGCAAAATAGCAGGTGGCTCGTGTTGTGCTTTCACGTGTCCTATAGCAACACCATAACTTGGTTTTTTTTTTGGACAGAATGTTTTGGAAGCATCAGATGTTAATGAATTTGTTTGCATGCCGTATCTTTGTAGCCTATAAACACCTTTCACGTTATCAGCACGTTAGAAGCAACTACAGCAAAATGAGGCATTACTCCCATCACATCCATCATCTATTAAATTGTCCACTAAACCGTAATTTCCTGTATCTTTAGAAAAACTGGTGAAGTACAAATCAAAAAGCAAAGGAGAGGTTGTTCCTCATGTTGAGCCTGATTCTGCAGAGAAGAAAGCACATCTCTGTGAAGCCTGTTAGCACTCTTGAGGTGCTTTAGGCTGGAGCCTTGCATAGCAGGACACCTCACCTGTTGTGAGAGGAGCAGGGTCATCTCCAGGAGGCTCTGCAGAGTGCACCTGATGTGAGCACAGCGTGGGATGAAGCATTCCTGAACCAGGGTATCTTGACAGAGTTAGCAGCCTGCAGTCAGGTGGGATAAACACAGCACAGCAGCAGCTAGAAGGCAAAATGGAGAGCAGGACAATTCTTGGATATTTCTGCCTTATGTTATTTTCCACACCGTAAGCAGAGTAACACGCAGCTACTGCAGATGTGAATCCTCTTGGTTCACTCTGTGCTCAAAGGCATGAGGTGAACGTGCCCTGAGGAGCCCACAAGGAGTTTTCAGA